AGGAGGAGGAGGAGAGGAGGAGGAGGAGGAGGAGGAGGAGGAGGAGGAGGAGGAGGAGGAGGAGGAGGGGAGGAGGAGGAGGAGGAGGAGGAGGAGGAGGGAGGAGAGGAGGAGGAGGAGGAGGAGGAGGAGGAGGAGGAGGAGGAGGAGGAGGAGGAGGAGGAGGAGGAGGAGGAGGAGGAGGAGGAGGAGGAGGAGGAGGAGGGGAGGAGGAGGAGGAGGAGGAGGAGGAGGATGAGGAGGAGGAGGAGGAGGAGGAGTCTCTGGATGGCGTGTCGTGGCACGATTGGAGTCGATGAAGGTCATCGTCAAGAAGCTTTTGCGGGAGGCTTCGTGGGGCTGCGTGGTTGTGTGGGTCTGAGGCCACTCGGATGGCTGATGGGGTCTCGTGGGAGGCTTCTCGGGAGCGTCTGGAGCGCAGTTTTTGGCCCTCTTGTGGGCCTCCCGGGGTCCTCTTGGGGGCCTCTTGGGGCCTCTTGGGGCTTTTTTTTGGGCTGAAGGCTCGGATTTCCGCATCGCGTTCCCCCTCTTGGGCGCCTCTTGGGCCGTCTTGGGGGCACCTTGGGCTGTTTTGGGCGCCTCCTGGTCCCCTCTTGGGTCCGTTTTGGGCTGTCTTGGGCGCCTCTTGGGCTGTCTTGGGGCCCTCTTCGGCCGTGTTCGGCCCATCTTGGGGGCCTGTTGGGCCGTCTTGGGGCGATCTTGGGGGTCTCTTGGGCAGTACTGGCCGCTCTGAACCCCCTAGAGTCGCAAATGCAAAACATGTACCTTTTCGTAAGAAAATCGGACGATTTTTCCCAGAAAGGGCTGGGGCCCAGGGTTCTCTTTTCAGTGTGTTTACCCCCGGTTCTGACGGCTGTAGGGCTGGCGAAATTGTTTTGCGATCTATAACGAGGTCGCGTAGGGCTGGCGAAATTATGTTTGAGGATGTCTCGAGCGAAACGCTTGTTTTGCAGAATTTATTGAGGACGTCTCGAGCGAAACGCTAGTTTGGTGTTATAGATTGTCCTCTCCAGCGGGCCTGAATTCAGAAGATCTCTCAAGTGAAAATCTTGTTTTCACGTGCCCAGGTCTTGAGGATGTCTCGAGCGAGACGCTTGGTTTCACGCCTTCAGGTTGCCCAGACAGATGTCTAACATGAGGATCTGTTGAGGATGTCTCGAACCAGAGGCTTGTTTTCACGTGTCCAGGTCGCCCAGGCGGATGTCTAGCATGAGGATGTGTCGAGGACGTCTCGATCGAGACGCTTGTTTGCACGTGTCCAGGTTGCCCAGGCGGATGTCTAGCATGAGGATGTGCTGAGAACGTCTTGAGCGAAACGCGTGTTTTCACGTGTCCAGGTCGCCCAGGCACAGCACAGCCCTCGGCACGGTACATCAATATCGATACCCTTAGCATTGCAGCCGCCTGGCATGTTGCCTGGCACGTTCCGCGGAGCGTCCCGTGGCGAGTCCCCCTGACACGTCGCGCGGTGCACGTCCATTGGCACGTTCCGTAGCGCGTCCCGTTGGCACGTCCCGCGGTGCGTGCCCATGGCACGTCCCCTGGCACGTCGCCTGGCGCGTTCCTTGGGACGTTCCGCGGCGCGTCCTCCTGGCATGTCCCCCTGTCGATTAGTTCTGGGGCAGCTATCATCTGCTCAGGCAGCTCGAGCTTAAGATCCAGATCAGTTCGGTCAGGACTCGGATGCGGACTCTATCCACAACGCTATACAGAGCACAATCGCGGCATGGCACATCGCAGTTCAGCACGGCCCAGCACAGCACAGCCGTCGGCACGGTACATCAAGATCGATACACTCAGCATTGCACTTTGGCTCGTTCCTTGGCGCGTTCCGTGGCGAGTCCACCTTGCACGTCGCGCGGCGCGTCCCCTGGCACGTCCCGCGGCACGTCCATTGGCACGTTCCGTAGCGCGTCCCCTTGGCACGTCCCGCGGTGCGTCCCCATGGCACGTCCCCTTGCACGTCGCCTGGCGCGTCCCTTGGGACGTTCCGCGGCGCGTCCTCCTGGCATGGCACCTCTGTCGATTAGTTCTGGGGCAGCTACCATCTGCTCAGGCAGCTCGAGCTTAAGATCCAGATCAGTTCGGTCAGGACTCGGATGCCAGGGAGGACTCGATCCACAACGCTATATATATAGAGCACAATCGCGGCATGGCACATCGCAGTTCAGCACGGCCCAGCACAGCACAGCCGTCGGCACGGTACATCAAGATCAATACACTCAGCATTGCACTTTGGCGCGTTCCTTGGCGCGTTCCGTGGCGAGTCCACCTTGCACGTCGCGCGGCGCGTCCCCTGGCACGTCCCGCGGCACGTCCATTGGCACGTTCCGTAGCGCGTCCCCTTAGCACGTCCCGCGGTGCGTCCCCATGGCACGTCCCCTTGCACGTCGCCTGGCGCGTTCCTTGGGACGTTCCGCGGCGCGTCCTCCTGGCATGGCACCTCTGTCGATTAGTTCTGGGGCAGCTACCATCTGCTCAGGCAGCTCGAGCTTAAGATCAAGATCAGTTCGGTCAGGACTCGGATGCCAGGGATGACTCTATCCACAACGCTACATAGAGCACAATCGCGGCATGGCACATCGCAGTTCAGCACGGCGTAGCACGGCACAGCCCTCGGCACGGTACATCAAGATCGATACATTCAGCATTGCATTTGCCCGTCGCCCAATCAGGTGTCTTTGAAACGTTGCCATGCCTACATGTCTATATTCCTTTCCGGGTTCGTGGGTCGATCACGTTGGTTGTCGAGACTCTCTTGGACGGCCTCTTGAGGCTCTCTTGGGGCTTCTTGGCGGCGGCTTGGGTTGTCTGGAGGCCATCTTGGGCGTCTTGGAACGATCTTGCGGCGACCCAGGGCCTTTCGAACGGTTTCGGGCGCGTCTCGGGGCTCTCTTGGGCCGTTCCTGGGGCGCTCTGGAAAGCCTGGAAGGCAGCGCCGAGGAGGAAGACCATCTCTGGGACACACTTGGCCGGGACCTGCTCGGGGTACTTTTCGTCCGGGGGCCCCCAGGGGCCGCCCCGCGCGCGCGAACTAGAAGACTATCAACCAGTCACCGGAGATCTTAGCTCGCCTCTGGCCCGTTGGGCCGGCGAATTTCATCACGTCCACGCCCCCCATGGGCGCCCACATGTCGTTGGCCATGAATTGCGCCCCCCCCCTCTTGGACGCTCCCCTCTTGGCCGCCCCCCGTTGGAGGCGCGCGTGCTGTATCGGTTGCAGTGCGGCGTTCTGGCGGGGGTTTCCGCTGAAAAGCGTTTCCGGGTTGGCGCCCGCCGCGGATTCCGCGAGTGTCGCGAGTGAAGGGGCCCCAGGACACACAAATAAATACACACAAATAAAAATATTCCCCATGTTTTCCAATATTTTAGGGTTTTTTGTCTTCCCCCCCACTTCCCATATTTTCCCATATTTTCCTGGGAGTCGACGATTAATTGTGTCTGTGTGTTTTTTCCCCTCCTGAGAGAGATGCGGAGGGGGCGCGCTCTCCCGGTGGAGGCGGGTCCCAGATGGCCGACGGCGGGAACGCCTGCCGGGCTGCGGTCGCTGGCCCCGTCTGCAGCGTGGAGGCCTGGCCCCCGCGGGCGTGGCGTGCGGTCCCAGGGTGGACCGGGCTCCTGGGCCTAAGTCCCCCCCAAGTCGCTGGCTACTCCAGATTTCGTAAGAAAGGGAGGGGGGTCTCATTTCGGGGGGGGTCTTTTCCAAGCTATCTTGGAGGGCCTGGGGGGGTCTGGGGACGATGTTTTGGTGGGTTCTCCCACGGGGGGGGGGGGTCTGAAATGGCTTGTCTTGGAGGGTCCAGACCCCCTCCCTTTTATTACGAAATCTGGAGTATTTCCTGGCCTTGCTCCGCTGCTGGGGTTTGTGCTCCGCTTGTGGTGTCGGATCTGGGCGGGCGCTCCTCCGCATGGCGTCGCGTCCTTCGTCCCTCCTGCGACGTGGTGACCGGCGACGACGGAGCTTCCGCCGTGGGCGGGTGCTCCTCCGCATGGCGGCGCGTCCTTCGTCCCTCCTGCGACGTGGTGACCGGCGGCGACGGCGAGCGGTGAGGATGATGATCCCCTTGCGGGGGGCCAGGTGTGTCCTTTGCGGCCCAGCCAGGGGCTCGATCAACTGCCCGCGCAGGCCAACGAAAAGAGGGGGCGCGCTGGAACTGGAGGTGGAGGGGGGGGGAGGGGGGGAGGAGGAGGAGGAGGAGGAGGAGGAGGAGGAGGAGGAGGAGGAGGAGGAGGAGGAGGGAGGAGGAGGAGGAGGAGGAGGAGGAGGAGGAGGAGGAGGAGGAGGAGGAGGAGGAGGAGGAGGAGGAGGAGGAGGAGGGGGGGAGGAGGGGGAGGAGGGGGGAGGGGAGGAGGAGAGGAGTGAGTGACGCGGGGCGCTGTCTCAAAACGAGGACCTAGCACCACAGGATGGTTGGGAGAACGAGTCGGCGGCGAGCGAGGGGGGAAGTGAGAAGGGGCGGGCCTTCTCAGAAGCCTCGGAAGTCCCCCGGCTCTCTGAGAAGTTTTCTAAGCCTTCCCCGAAGACAAGAACAACTCCTCAGTGGGCGCGAGGGCTTCTGAGAAGTCTCGCCGCCTTCTGTGAAGGCCTTCTCCTTCTCACTTCCCCCCCTTGGCTCGCCGCCAAAAGCGGGGGCGCGCTGGAAGCGGAAGGGAAAGCCCGCCCGAGTTGCTTTGAGCTCCCCCGCCAGGTGCTGCACCCCCCGGCGCCGACGCAGCCCTGCTCGGCCACGGGGCCCTCCCAGCAGCCGCCCGCGGAGCCGCTCTGGCGCAAGCGCGCGGCGCCCGCGGAGCCGCCGGCCTCGGCGGCGGCGCCGGCGCCCACGCAGCCCGCCCACCTCGCGGCCGGCTGGGCCCCGGCGGCCGCGCCGGGCGCGTGGGCCTCGCCCGCCGCGCCCCGCGCGCGCCCCCGCGCGCGCCGCCCCGGCGGGCGCGTGGGGCGCGTGGGCCGCCGCGCCCGCGGCGGGGCCGTCGGGGGCGCCCTCGCGCCTGGGCTCCAGCGGCCCCGCCTCCGCGGCGCTGCGGGCGGGCCAGCCCGCGGGGGCGCCCGGCGCGCTGGCCGCGGGGGGGGCAGGGTCCGCCCATGCCCAGCCCTCGAGCGTCCTGGGTCCTCCTTTCTCGGGAGGGGAGAGACGCACAGGCACGATTCGTCGTCGATCCCCAGGAAAATGGGGGAACATGGGGCGTGGGGGGGGGGGAAGACGACAGCCCAGAGAATAGGGGAGAATCTGGGAATCCTGGGATTTGTGTCTACTTGTTTGTGTGTCCCAGGGCCCCTTCAAGGGCGCGCGTAATTACCCAGACCTCTGGCGGAGTGTTTGTTTCCATCCCGGCGATTTTCCGGTCGTCGGGCCGGGCCCGTCGCCAATCGATTCGGGTTCAAGAAGTGGTCCTGGGGGAAGGGGTCGCTGACGACGTGGACCATCCGCGATGTCGAATGTGAGGGTATACGTCGTGCTGCCCAGGAGGGCGTTTTCACACCGAGTGCTTACCTCTGTCGGCGCCCTCCAAAATCGGCGCCACCCCAACATACTTGTACTATATGTGCGTCGCCGCCCCAGGGGCGACGCCCGCACCGAGAAATCTTAAAGTATATGCGTCGTGGCGGGCGCTTTCTGGCCACACCGCTCGTGAAACGATATACTACAAGATGGGTATACTATATGTTCGGGTCGGACGCGCGTCTCCAAGGAAGACATATAGTACTAGTATGTCTTTGTGCGTCCCATACCACTGTTGGCGCCCTCCAAAGGCCGCTGGCATGCATGCGCCCGGCGTGTCGGCGCCTCCGGCCGCTGGCTTAGCGGCCGGTCCAGTGCCGCTGCTGGCCTCGCAGCTGTGCGCGTCGGTGGGGCCGGCGCTGGACGTGGCGGACAGCGACGACGAGCTCATCGGGGCGGACCCCGACGAGGTGGCCCTGCCTCGGGGCGACGTGGCCGACGAGAGCTTCGACTGGCTGGACGTGGACAGGCTCTGGTGACCCTCTGGGGCCGCCCTCTGAGCCCGAGAGAGCCAGAACTCCGCGCTGGTATGAATCGAGTAGGGGATCGACTACGGAATTGAAATTCCCCAGAAGTGGTTGTCCTTTGAACCTGCGAAAAAGACAGCAGATCTACTGAACATCCTGCGCGCTCTTCGTAGTTTTGGCGTAAAAACCAATTTTGGGGTAAATCAATTCTGTACAGTCGGCCCGGATTAGTAGGTCGACCTGCCAAATCAAGGGTACCTTTCTGTCCTGTGTCTCGAGACCCGTGCCTCCTGCATTTTCATGGCAATGTGGCCCCCAGAAGGGTCTTTTGTCCTCTCGCGTGTCCTGTCCAATGAAGTCCGATCCCCTACTCGAATAAGCGTCGGACGTCCGCGGGCGATTTTCCCCCGCTGTCCCCAGACCCCCTCCCCGCATCCGCGAGCTCGGCGCCGTGCGATCCCCGCGCGCCAGGGAGGGGGGGGGGGCCCGGCGCCGGCGGAGAGCCCGCCCGCGGACGCCCGGGGCTTCTGTCTGCGTGCTTTCGGGTCCTCTGGCCTCCCTCGTCTTCCTCGTCCTCGTCGCCATCCTCGTCCTCCTCCCCCTGGTCCTCGTCCTCGTCGCCATCCTCCTCCTCCTCCTCGTCGCCATCCTCCTCGTCCTCCTCCTCGTCGCCGTCCTCGTCGCCGTCCTCGTCGCCGTCCTCGTCCTCCCCCTCCTCGTCCTCCTCGTCCTCCTCCTGCTCGTGCTCGTCGCCATCCTCTGGACGGCGGGGCGCCACGCCGCGGCTCCTGCGGCTCACGCCCGCGCCCGCGGGGGAGCGGGCGCGCGGCCGCGCCCGGGGCCCGCCGGCAGGCCGGAGAAAAGGGAACGCCGCGCGGCGAGGCTGGTGCTGGCGGCACCTCGGGAGGGGTCTGGCCTCCGAGGAGGGGCCAACTCGGGCCCGAGTGCAGATGGTGTGGTTACGCCCGGGTGTGGTTTGCGATCGGCACCGTTGGGACCTGGGGGGCACGACGCTGTCCTCGTCGGGCCTCCTCGAGGTCCTCGGGGCGCGGGAGAACTCTATCGAGGTCCCCGCGCGCCTCCCAGGGTGCCCCCCAGGATGTTCCCCAGGGTGCCAGTTGCAAACCGCACCCTTCGCAAACCACACCTTCTGGAGTCGCCGACCAGCGTCGTGGGACAAGCAGGGCAAAGGTTGTTCGCCGTTTGCGCTCTGTTCTAGGCCTCCCAGATGGGGTCGGAGCAGACGGGGCCAGAGGACCGCGCCGCATCGCCGATATGCATCGGCCATGCCTCGGCGATGCGGCTCGACGTGGGGCCCGATTTTCTCCACGCCGACGTCGCCGATGCATCGCCGACGTCGTCAGTGCATGGTCGATGCATCGCGGATGTATCAGGAAGGAAAAAAACACAGACACAATTCATTGTGGATTCCCCAGGAAATATGAGAAAATATGGGGAGTGGAGGGGAAGACAGAAACCCAGGAAGCATGGGAAAATATAGGGAATCCTGTTATTTGTGTCTATTTATTTGTGTGTCCCAGGGCCCCTTCAATGTATCGGCGATGCGGCGAGATCCTCCGACCCCATCTGCTCGGACCTCAGCCAGGAGGCCTCTGCCCCTGGAGATCGGGGGCCACGACAGCGGCAGTCCGGGGAGCTGGCAGCGTCAGGAGGGGAAACACACACAGACACTCATAATTAGTCGTCGATCCCCAGGAAGATATGGGAAAGGATGGGAAGTGGGGGAGCGACGACAGCCCAGAGAATAGGGGAAATCATTGGAAATCCTGGGATTTGTGTCTATTTGTTTGTGTGTCCCAGGGCCCCTTCAAGGGCGCGCGTACCCAGACCTCTGGCGGAGTGTTTGTTTCCATCCTAGCGATTTTCCGGTCGTCGGGCCGGGCCCGTCGACAATCGATTCGGGTTCAAGAATTGGTCCTGGGGAAGGGGTCGCTGACATCGTGGACCAACCGCGATGTCGAATGTGAGGGTATACGCCGTGCTGCCCAGGAGGGCGTATACACACCGAGTGCTTACCACTGTCGGCGCCCTCCAGACCCAGGTATCCGATGTTGTGATTTTTTCAACGCGGGGCCCCCGGAAGTCTCGACCCATTCCCCAGGACCGGCTTTTCATCCCGAATCGTTTTGTGGCGGTCCCGAGGCCCGGCGAGGGCCCCCAGGGGCCGAGGTTTGGGAAAAACCTCCGTCTTTGCCCAGGAGGGCGTCTCCCGGGGCCCCTCCGATCTCCCCTTCTTCGCCGACCGGGGCTCGGGAGCCCCGCCCCGCCCGGCAGCCGTCAGCTCCTCTGAATCCCGCCGGGGGCCCGGCGCCGATCCGTCGGCGACGCGCCGTCGATCCCGGGCCCGTGCCGCCCTGCGGCTCCCCTCCGCGTGGGCAGGTGGCAGCGGTGCCGCATCCTCTCCATCATCCCTCGAAGAAGATGGCAGCAGCCAGCGTTGACTCCAACTAGATAGGAGGGCAGGAGGAGGAGGAGGACGGGAGGAGGACGGGAGGAGGGCGGGAGGAGGGCGAAAGGAGGACGGGAGGAGGACGGGAGGAGCAACATCAAGCAAGCGCAAGCAAGCAAGCGGTGCCACGTTCTCCCCATCCTCATCTCTCAAAGAAGAAACAACGTCATGAACATAAACTTTCGGCGCTCCGCGCGGATTTCTTGGATCCGCGGAGCGCGCCAGGGAGGGGGGGCCCAGCGCGGATTCAAGAAACCCGCGCGTAGCCAAAAGTTTATGTGTACAGTCGGGGCGTTGAGCTGAGGAACCCCAAATAAGGAACGATGCCCCTTTTTCCCATAAGTTCAATCTCGATTTCCCGTGGAAAACCTCAGGAAAGCCCGAAGCAAACTTTGAAACCTTCAAGGAACACCGAGCCTCCCCAACGAAAAGGGTTCCTTCTTCAGCGCCCCGACAGTATGGCGTTTTTTCTTCTTCTAATCTCCCTTCTTGGGGCTTTCACGGGACACCCTGGAGCCGTCTGAGATACGTCATGGGCGCGAGCGGGCTCCGGTGGGTTCCCATATGTGACGGTCGCGCGGGACGCCCGGCGGTGCGCTGAAGCCCCAGTCGACCGGCATCTTTGAGAGCCGGCTGCCTGCTCTCCCAGAGCTCCAACGCATTGAAAAATCAGGACGGAGGTTTTTCGCTACTTTCGGCCTCGAGTGGCCCTTGCCGGGCCCCGGGACCGTCAAAAAACGACTCCGGATGAGAAACCAGTCCCGGGAAATGGGTCGAGACTTTGGGGACCGCGTATTGAAAAAATCACGACCTCGAATCTTTTGGCTCACAGAGCTCCAGTGCGCTGTGATGATCAGAGCGCATGATGAAGAGGAGACGGGGAGGAGAAGCCGAGGGGGGATGAGCTGGAGGGGGGAAGATATGGCGGAAGGGGAGGAGTAGGGAAGGGAGGAGGGGAGGACAGGATGGAGGGAGGGAGGGAAGTAGGGACTGAGGACGAGGGCGGGTGCGAGATGCGAAGGAACAGGGGGGCGAAGGAAGAGGAGGGGGAGTGTGAGCGGAGGGGAGTTGAGGAAGTTTCGGGGGACGGGGGGTGTAGGACGGGGAGGGAGGGACGGGGAGACGCGGGCTGGACGGGAGGCGAGGGGAAAAGAGGGAGAGGGGGGGGGGAGCGCTACGAGGGAAGACGGGTGCAGCTGATGCTGCCGCCGCTGCTCAGCGCTGGGCTGGAGCCACTGGCCGAAGCATCTCGAGGCTCTACCGAACGACCGCCTCGCCTTCTCAGCGATCCTCGTCTCATTGTCGTTCTCGCTCTCGCCTTCCTCAACTTGTTCTAGTTCTTGCCCTCGCTGCCTCTTCCATCGCCCCCCCTCTTTCGGTTTATACGCCTATTGTTCCTTGCCTTCTTTGTGCTTTGGTTCCAAAAGCATTTCGTCAACGACTTCTATTCGCACACGATATGAGGCCACGGCTTCATGCGCCCTGCCCACATGGGCACGGGCACACCTCTTTGTACCCTGCCCCAGTTTCCGGGGCCGCCACTGCCTCTGGGGATTCCCAGCCAATCCGCCCTGCGAGCTGTTCGCAGCCCGCTGCCGCCGGCGCGGCCCCGGCGCTGCCGCCTCGCCTGCGGGGCCCCCGCAGGCGGGGCGCTCCTCCTCCCTCTTCTCCCTCCCCCTCCCCCCCTGCCCGCTCTCCCTCCCTCCGCGCGCCGCGATGGCGGCGCCTGGGCTGCCACCCGCAGCCTCCACGCGTAAGGGGTCCTGGGCCTGGTTTTGCCGGCTGGTCCTCCACGCTGGCCCAGCATGTTGCTGGACGCAGCCCGCCAGGATGCAGCTCGACTTGCCGCACCTTGTCTCGTCCCCCCCCTGCGCGGCGCGCGGCCTGCCGGCCTGGCACTTCGTGTTCCTCGTCGGCTACTCGCGGTTTTGGTTCAGCTTCCAGTGCACGCGCTGGGCCCCGCCTCAGGCAGGTACACCCGTGCAGCAGCCGCCTCAGTCCCTGCCGGCGGGCGGCCGCGCCAGCTCACCCGGGAACCGATTCGTCCCCCCTGAGTGGCCCTGGCCTTTCCTCCCCTTCTCTGCCGCCCGCTCTGTCCTGTGTTTCCTCTCTTTCATGTTGGCCAATTCGCTACCAAGGTGCCCCCGTTTGGTTAGGTTCATCTGCTAGCGCAGACGACCCCTTGCCTAGCCGCCGACTAGAAAAACAACTCTGGCGCCTTCGCTTCGCTTCGCGTCGCTTCGCCCCCAATAGTTCGGCGCATCGTGCGCTTTGCTGTCGCTCCCAGCCTGGCACGTCTGAACACAGACACCCCAAACAACGGAATCGAACTTATGCGGTGCGGCGTGGGGGTCGGTTGGGACAGGATGGGGAGGAGCGGAATGATGACAAACAGGAAGGACGCAGGCCGAGGGGGAGGAGGAACGAAATAATGAAAAATCCAAGGAATATCTGGAGTATTAGGAGGAGGAGGAGGAGGAGGAGGAGGAGGAGGAGGAGGGAGGAGGAGGAGGAGGAGGAGGAGGAGGAGGAGGAGGGGAGGAGGAGGAGGAGGAGGAGGAGGAGAGAGGAGGAGGAGGAGGAGGAGGAGGGGAGGAGGGAGGAGGAGGAGGGGGAGGAGGAGGAGGAGGAGGAGGAGGAGGAGGAGGAGGAGGAGGAGGAGGAGGAGGAGGAGGAGGAGGAGGAGGAGCAGAGGAGGAGGAGGAGGAGGAGGAGGAGGAAAGCCATTTGGCCTCTTGCGGGCCAGCCGATCCCGATCGATCCATCGGGGTCGGTCGGCGCCTGCCGCCCGATCGATCGCGGTGGCAGGGCGCATCGCGCATCGGCCAGCCCCCGAGGCCGGGCTTGCGCGCGCCGCGCGCCATCTTCTGCGGCAGGGGGCCACCCGTGCCTCCCTGTCCCCTGCCGCAGGCCGCGGCGCTCGCGGCCGCGCTGCGGCCCAGCGGCGGGACGCCGCGACATCGCCGAGGAGGAGGTCCAGAGGGCGCTGCACACCGCCGTGAGCGGCAGCAGAGAGCCCAGGACAGGCTCCTGCTCCGCCTGCGGGCAGCGGCCGAACGCCTGGCCGCCCACCACTCTGCCCAGCCAGCGATGGCCCGAGACGGGAAGGGCAGAGGCAGTGGTGGCCGAGGCGGCAAGGGCCAGGCCCAGGAGGAAGCAGCACCGCCAGCAGCGCCCCATTGGCGCCAGGAGAGGTGGCATGGTGCTGGATGGCAAGAGCAGCATTGGCATGCGGAGCCAGCAGGCGAGGGTCCGCCCTGGCGCAGACCGCCATCACGGCCGCGGCGCTCTGGCCAGGCCAGCCCTCGCCAATGGCAGCCGCAGCAGCAGCAGCAGCAGCCCAGCCAGCCCCCCTGGCAGCAGCAGCAGCAGCAGCAGCAGCAGCAGCCCAGGGCGGGCAAAGGCGGCCAGGCCAGCTCCAGCAAAGCGGACCAGCGGGCCCAAAAAGTCATTGACTCTGTGGCAGCCTGCACGCTGGACGAGGCCACCTCCCACCCAAAGTGGCAGGCGCCCCCAGCCTACCGCGCAGGCATCCAGAAGTTTCTGAGCAGCGCTGACCAGAGGCTGAGGAAGCTCGGCGACCTGGTCATTGCCAAGCAGGCCGCGGGCGACAGCACGAAGGAGCAGTTGATGGAAATCTCGGTCATCAAATATCAGAGGCTGGTCACGAGGAGGCCGAATGACCAGCTACAGGTGCTCAGCAAAATGCGCAGGGCCGTCAAACTCGAAGTCATCGCCCTCGAGGCCCAGGCGAACGCGCTGCGGGGCGACCTCAAGGCCAATCAGCGGGAGTTGAGGCAGGTCGAGTCCAACATCGCCGACGTGCGGGCCGTGCCCGCCGACGGCGGCGCGGCGGACGACGAGGGCGACTGGGGCGCGGGCGGGTTTGGCTTGGCGCCGAGCTGGGATACCTTCCACAAGGCCGTGATCGATAGGCGCCTGAACAGCGAAGCACCTGGTGACGGACTTCCAGCTTGGCCAGCGGGAGTGGTGGGGCGCTCGCCACGCTCAAGAGCCAGCTCGGCAGGCAGCGCAACCAGAGGCTTCGCCGATCAGGTGGCTAAAGGCGAATGCGGAGCGGGCCCACCAACAGCAGCGCCATGCCGAAGCCGAGCAGGAGTTTGCTGCCGAGCTGGCGGAAGTCAGGAGGGTCGCCCGCGAGCAGGCACTCCGCCACAACGCCGAGCAGGCGAAGCTCAGGCTGGCCCTCAAGGAGGAGTCAGAGCAGCTGCAGCGCACCACCGTAGCGGAGAGCGCAGCCCAGCAGCAGCAGCAGCAACACAAGGCTCTCCGCCACGAGATCAAGAAGCAACAAGCCGAGCAGCTCGAGTTCGCGACGCAGATGGAGGCCAGGATAATCAGCCATGAAGCAGCTTTCAGTCAAGCCAAGGCTGAGGCCGAGGCGGCGACCCAACGTGCAAATCACCTGCGAGAGCAGCTTGAGTATGCCCGCGCGGAGCACCGAGCGCAGCCGCAGCCCCAGGGCAGGGTCTACCAAGACCTACTGCGGGCAAGCGCCGAGGCGCAAGAGGCATTGCGACAGGCCCAGCACGAGAGCGCCCAAGCGACAGCTACAGCTGGCACTCTCAAGCAACAGCTCACCAGGCAGGAGCTGGTCATGGAAGAGAAGCTACAGGAGGCCAAAAAGAACCACGCCCTTGAGCTTGAAGCTGCCGCCGAATCAGCCAGGGTCCAGGCAATTGCCCAGGCCCAAGTGGTTGCCGATGCCAAGGGAAAAGGGGCCCTCCCGACGGCAGAAGCGGCCAGGCTGCAAGGGATCGTCCAGACAGCAGCACGGCAGCAGGATCGGCTCAAGCAGGCCAAAAGTGAGCTCGAGGCAGCTGAAGCCCGCGTACACGAGCTCCAGCAGTGCTCCAAGCTTGAGGCGGGCGCTGCGCAGCGTGCAGTACAGGTCGCCTACCACGAAGCAGCGGAGCTGAGAAGCACCAGCGAGGAGCGGCAGATCCCGCACGAGGTGCAGGCATTGCAGTTCGCCCTGCTAAGGACTAGAGCAGAGGAGGAGGAGATTGCGAAGGCCAGCCTGAAGGACAAGGAGGCAATGCGGGCGGAGCTCGAAGGCAGTGCTGAGTACGCGAACGCACATGACTTGCAGCTGCACACAGAGAGCCTGCGACAGGAACTGAGCAGCTACGCGGTGCAACTGAGCGAGCAGAGGTCCAACGCAGCGGTGCAGGAGCAGGCGCTGGAGGAGGAGCTCGCCCAAGCCCTCACCTTCAGGATCGCCGGCATGGAGGAGGCCTCCGCCATGGAAGACTTTGCCAGCCAGCAGAGGACGGGCAGGGAGGAGGCCATTCACCTCGCGCTGCAAGAAAGCCTCCAGCGCTCCCGCACGCTACACACCGAGCTCGACGCCATCGCAAAGAAGGAGCAGCAGGGCGCGTCGGAGACAGAGGAGTTAAAGCTGAGAATGCAGAGCCTGGAAGCCATTGCAGCCAGCAGGGAACGTGAACGCAAAGCCATGGTCAGCCTGTGCGCCGAGATGAGGCAATACGGGCAGGGGGGCTACGACTTCACCAAGAGGGCAGCTCATCACCTCGTCCAAGGGGAACACCTCCCAACGTCCCAAGAGTCCATGGACGACTACCAGGAGGCCGCCGACCTGTGCGAGAAAACCAGAGGAGCAGCCGAGGCAGCTACCGCCCCAGCGGAGCCCCCCGTTGCGACCACTCTCCCAACTGGTGCAGCCGAGGAGCGCCCAGCCAATAGGGGCCGTAGGCAGGGCAGCTCCACGCCTCGGAGGCCAGCATCAACCAGGTCAGCCAGATCAGCAGCCCGCCAGACCGACGAAGGCGATGTCCCCCCCAGAGAGCGTGACAGGTCCAGGGGCCCCGACAGGCCAGACCCGCATGAGGAGGCAGAAAGATACGAGCGCGAACAAGATGATTTGCGCAGACAAGACGCTGAGGAGAAAGCACAATGGGAAGCCGTACAGATGGAGGAGGAGCTGGAGTCCGTAGTGAGGGACCACGAGGCGGAGGATATCCAAAGGCGCTACTGCGAGGAGGCCCCCTTGACCCAGTTCGGCACTGTGGGCGCACAGGACTCCCAAGTGGAGGACGACGGCTCGGAGCACGCGCCGATGATCTACCCCGCCAGCTGGCCGCCCTGGAGCCAGGATCACCCCGCGCCCGAGGAGGGTGAGGAGATGAGGGGAGTCACGCAGCACGAGGCAGACACAGACCTGGCATCCACGTCAAGGGCTAGCTCGGTACCAGCAGAGCAAGGCGACCCTCCTACTCCGACAGCATCTCAGGTGATCTTCATCCCAGCATCGCCAGCGCCACTCAGCGAGAGGTCACTCACGCCCACAGTTCCATTCGGGCATGATGAGCAGCGCGGCCAAGGAGGTGGAGAGGGAGCCGACAGCTTCGCATTGACCCCATCCCCCTGCATCCCAGCAGAGCGCGGAGGCGGCAGCAGCCAGCATCGAGAGGCAGTACGAGGGCATTGACATCCTAACGCGCCAGCACACCTCAGCCGCCGCCGCAGCTGCAGCCCTTGACGAGGCGTTTGGACCCGCGCCCGCATTTCCAGGAGAAGACATCAGCCAGGCCCACAAGGGTCAGCGGGTAGACTTTGGAGAGTCAGGCATAGCACGTTTTCGTGGCCGAGTGGCCCGCAGGAGGGACGAGACAAGGGGCACAGCAACCCCCTCCCCTCCTGCAGCTCCTGGAGCCGAGGAGCAGGCAGCAGCAGCGCCCGCCGAACCCCCCCGAGGGGGGGGGGGGGGGGGCTAGCAGCGCCGCCAGGCATCAGGTCATGCATGACAGAATTCACGGCCAGGAGGCGACCGATGAGTCCGACAGGGCAGAGCACGACGGATGTGGGCTTCCTTCACGCTCTCCGATCAGTTCGACAGCATCGATCTCCTGTGCAGCATTGGGGAGAGCAGCTGGGGCCCAAAGCCCGCAGCACGGCAGTGGGGTCCTCCACTACGATGCTCGACCTACCCACCACCAGAGGCCTGAAAGCACGGCGGGCCTTGGGGTAACTTGTGACAGCCGTCTAGTAACACATAGACCAGCAGAGACTGCGACAGTCTCACACACCAGAGCAGATACTCCCAGGAGTCCAGGGTCCCGAGGGGCCACGACTCCAAGCAGACGCGTTACCGCAACTGGCATTGGCAGTGGGAGGGCCACTCCCAATCGCAGCAGCCAGCAACAACAGCGGTATCAGTCACCTGGGTCTCGAGGGGCCAACGTGACACCACCACGGCCGACACGAGGGCCGCCCGCCGCGTCTCGAGGGGCGCTAGGCGGCAGCCAAGGAGGCACACTACCAGGGAGGAGTGATGCATCCGCCAATCTGTCAGCACTTCAGGTCACAAGCCACCAAGATGGCCGCGAGGATGCGTTACCGGCTGCCCTTGCACACAGCACGCCCACCTCCGCCATCCGAGTCCACGAGATCGAAAATGTGGAAAGGACCTTTCTCGACGGACAAAACTCGAGTGGCAGCGAGGCCGAGGACGGCACGGAGCAATGTTACGAGGAGTGGAAGCAAGTGCGCGCAGTCGCAGCCTTCCGATCAGCCCAGCGGCGAGCACGCCGTGCACGGCGCGCTGCGGAGAGCCACAGTCGTCGGAACGACAGCAGCACCCACGATAAGTACCGAGCCCTGGTGGTGGATCAGGGACACAGCGCCCGCACCCGAGCCAGCCGCGTCAGCGACCAGCAGCAATCAAGTGGTCAAGAAGGCAGCCCAACCTGGCGGTTATGCACGGGGTCACCTCACATTGGAAGGCCGCTGACGAGCGGATCTGCTCCCCACAGAGACGAGCAGATGCGGGGGCGTTCCCCCTTGCAGGTGCGAAGGCCTGGCAGCAAGCCTCCGTCGGGAGGGTGGTCGATTCCTTGCTCCCAGGCCAGTGGCTTCGTCCAAGGGCACTCGAGGCAAGACCCCAACAGCAGCTACACTGGCAGTAGCACAGGGTGGAGACCAACGACTCGGCCACAACCCAGCAGCAGCACAGACAGCATCCCACCCACGGCCACAGCACTGCCTGATGTAGAAGCCAATCCCGCCCCAACCGACACCCTTACGCCAGCCCAGCGCACCAAGCCCAAACGCCCACCATCTGGGCAACCTGAAGACCTAGCTGAGCCTGAGCAGCACACAGTGCCTACTAGGGCCTGCTCAAGCTGGCGCGCTAGCGCGGGGTCGCCTCACGCTGTAAGGCCGCCGACGGGCGGACCTGCTCCCCAGCGGGCAGAGCAGCTGCGGGATCAATCCCCCTTACAGGTGCGTAGGCCTGAGGGCATGCCTCCGACGGGAGGGTGGTCGAAGCCGTGCCCTCGCGCCAGCGATGTCGTGTTGGGGTGTCCAACCAGGCCCAGCGACATTCAAGCTTACCCAGCATCACCAGTGGCCCCAGTCCCGACGGACCCAAACAGCTCACCACGGCCAAACAGGTGGAAGCCAACGCTCCCCTCGGCATCAGCTCGCTCCCACCGCGGCACGGGTGCCATCAATCACCCAGACGCCCTGGATGGCGAACCTCATCGTCTACGTGATAGCATGCTCCACGCCCACTCCCACGAACCCCTGTTCAGTCAGGCCGCGCGGGCTGGATCGGACAACTTGAACTTCGATGGGGGGAGCCAACTGCCACCACCACTCCCCGTGAAGCGGAGTGCGCCTCAGGCTGGGGCCCTACCTCTAGCCCCGCCTACCCGCTCCGCGCCATCACAGCCACCTCCAGCCCGCATTACCAGCACACAATGTCCCACTCTACATGGCATGGAACTTGTGCCAGACGATGACGTCGAGTACTCCCCCGAGTACGTCAGTGCTGAGAGGGCCAGGCGCGGCCGAAGGCAACGGCAGCCCCCCGCCACGGCAGCGCCAGACAGAGGCCAACCTGCAGTGCTGCCAGTTCTCAGCCAAGACCCAGTAGCCGAGACCCTTCGTGGCCGAGGCCGCGTCAATGTCTGCGCCGACGTCGACACCACGACCCTACACAACATGGCAAGGCTGGCGCTGGAGATGTGCCCATCACGCGAGCTGCCGACTAGGCGCGCACACATCTACACGGACGGCAGCTACAACGGCATCCCACATACAGCCGCCTGGGCAGTAGTTATTGCCGACGAGTACGACGACGGGCGCAACTCACGAGGCCCGTTTGGCTTTCGGGGTTTCATTGCTGACAAGGTCACCGAGTCCCTAGACGACATGGCAAACAACGAGAAGGTGACGGCATACACAGCTGAGCTCACGGCAGTACTTCGGGCACTAATGTGGGCCCTTGGTCAAGACACCGCCGCGCCCATCGAGGTCACGCCCGACGCCCTCAATGTTATCAACCTGGCCAAAGGCGAAGCCCAATGCCATGTACATCCGAGGTTGGGGGCCGCCATTCGCGCGCTTGCTGGCCTCCTCCAACAAGCCCGACCTACTCAGTGGCATCACATTAACTCGCACATTGGCCACCCTTGGAACGAGCTCGCAGATGGGATAGCAGATCAAGCTTCGGCCGGCGACCTGATGGACCCGAATATTGCAGCAGTGCAGGCGATCGCGCACAACAAGTTCCTTTCCTGGGAATGGTTACGCTCAGCGCCAGATGCGGTCAAGGTCGCATACCCTCCCATGCGGAAGCAAGACTTCATCATCGGGGCCACTCAGCCGCAGGCAGCCCCATGTGCGATCCAGAGGCCCATCAGCACCACCACCATCAAGGCCGACCTCAACGTGAATTTGTGCACCTACAACTGCAGATCACTCAAGGACGCCGCCAGCTTCAAGTCGGGCAAAGGCAAGGCGGCCGGTAAAAACAAGCAGAGCATCTCCAAGGTTACGCACCTAGCAGCACAGTTTGCTGACATGGGCCTGCACGTCGTGGCCCTCCAGGAGACGCAGAGCGAAGGAGACGTCCGCAACGTAGGAGAATATGCTTGCTACTCCTCAGGCCACACGCAGCAGAACAGAGGATGCGACATTTGGCTCAACGTCTCCCAGCCGATCAGCGTGAGTGGGGCAGCGAAGTACCTAAGTGCCAAAGACACCCTCGTCCTCCACCAGCACGACAGGCTCTTGATCATCAAGACCCGCGTTGCAGGCACAGACATGGTCATCGCCTCAGCATATGCACCCCACGAAGACTCCCAGGCGGCTGAGAAGAGAGAATTCTGGGAGTCTGCTCAGCGATTGTCTGCCAAGTACCGCGTGGACATCTTCATGGGGGACCTGAACGGGCGTCTCGGCGACTATGAGTCCCCAGGAGTTGGCACCAGTGGGTGCCCAGAAGCGACCAACGGCAATGGCAAGCACATCATCAGCTTCGCAGCCGACACCGACTTGGAGGTCATCAACACCACGAAGGATCCAGGCAACAACTCGTTTACGCATATCGGATCGAAGGGGCAGCGCCACAGGATAGACTACATCCTGCTGAGCTCCTCGCTCGCCCCGTACGTTGCGAGCTGCAGCACGGAGCCAGGTCTTGACCGAGGCACAGCTGCACAATACCACATACCAGTACTCGCCACCCTCAAGTGGGCCGTCTGCAAGACCACCAAGGCCTCAGGACCGCGGCCCGACCTGACCAACTTAAACAACGATGTCGCCAAGGCCAGCTTTAAGGAGATTCTCAAGCAGGCCCCGATCATCCCCTGGGAGGTGGACGTCAACACCCACTGCGAGGAGGTCACCAGAGTCGTCAACAACGCGGCCATCCAGGCCTTTGGCAAGGCCGTCAAGGCAGCGAGGAAGCCCTACGTCACCAAGACTACCATGGGCCTAATCCGAGCCAGACGCCTCACACTTCGAGTCCATCGCGCAGTGCTCAGAGGAGAAGCCCATGACGACCGACCTGGACGACTAGTAGCCCACGCCCACTCTCTTCTTGGAGGCGAGGTCGGGGCCTCACTGGCCCTGTGGAGCAGAGAGCGTGGCGACGACGATGGCACCATCCACGACATCCACGACTACGCGCACCTCCTCCTGAACTGGACGATCTCGCCCATGGTCTACGCCATGGCCATCCTTTCCTTCCTCACCAGGTCTGGGCTCCTCGTTGCCTCGGCCGTCGAGAAGGACCGTAGTGCCTTCCTCAGCCGGCTTGCCTCAATTGCGTCCTCCGCCTCCGCTGCGAACGACGCTGCGGCCCAGTGGAAGGCCTACCGCGACCTACTAAGGTATGGCGGGAGGAAGGCGAAGTTCCCAGCAGGAAAGCCGATGCGGCTCGACAAGGATGGAGAGGTGATCCACAACTCCCAGGACATGGCGGACCAGGAGCTCAACCATTTCGCGAAGATACAGGCGGGCAAGATCGTGACAGCGGATGATCTTGCCAACAAGTATAATCATGACAGCAAGACCAGGCCTTTCGACGGCATGCTGGATCTCTCCATGGTGATGCCCCTGGCCGTCTGCCAGGCCCAGTTCGCTGCGGCCAAGGCTGGGACGCAAGGAGGCCCTGACGGGCTCACGAACGCCGTCCTCAGGGCGGCTCCTACAGAGGCAGCAAGGCTACTGCACCCCCTCTTCACCAAGGTGGCGACCACCGTACGGGAGCCGCTGAGCTTCAAGGGCGGGGACCTGGTCGCAATCCCCAAAGGAAAAGGCGACCCGCGATACCTCCTAGCGTACCGCGAGATCCTCTTAAACAACGTCCTGGGCAAGCACCACCATAAATACCTGAGGGCTATGCTCAACACTACCCTCGCCATAGCGCTGGAGGACATCCAGGTTGGCGGCCGGCCCAAGCGAGGGGCTGACATGGCGGTCCTAGCAGCGCGCCTCTTCACAGAGAGAAGCCTGGCCCAAGGGAAGTGCTCCATGATCAGCTGCTACGACTTAAAGGAGGCCTTCTACTCGGTTGTAGTCCAGCTGGTCCATGGCATCCCAGGCGAGGAGGACGAGGTCAAGGAGGTGCTAGAAAACCTCGAAGTTCCCCTTTGGGCCCAGCCACAATTGGAGCACCTCATGGCCAACCCAGGGATACTCGACACAGTGTTGGACGGCTCCCACCTGGCTGCCCTCATTGCAGAAGGGTACCGCAACAGGTGGACATCGCACAGGTTCTCCCAGAACCTCATGGCGCCGCACAAGGGCACGAGGCCTGGCGTGCCCCTAGCCGACGCGGACTTCAATCTGCTCTTCGGCCGAGTCCACCGCATGATTGACAGCTACCTTGCGCAGCGAGGGCTAAGAGCCCAGGGCAAGCCCCTAGACAGCAGCTTCGCATGCGACACCGACCCCACAGACGGACCACTCCAGGAGCACGAACCTCACGGCCTATCGTTCGTCGACGACCTCACGGGCATGCACGTGTTCACCAGCCCCGATCACATTCAGTCCGAGGCCACGGGGTTCTGCGAAGCCGTCTACTGCGCCACCAGCACCTTCGGCCTCCAGCTGCAGCTCACCAAGACCAAGGTGATGATCGACTTCAGTGGGCCTGGGAGCCGGCAAGCTCGGGCCAGCTTCTATTCCAATGGAGTGCCGAGGATCGAGGTCCCTCTCGCAGAGAGCTACGTCGAGGTTGTCCGCCACCACAAGCTCCTCGGGACCTACGTAACCGACAATGCATCCCCTGGGGTTGATGTCGCAGTGAAGGTAGCCACCGCTGCGACATCCACGAGGCCTCTCCATCGCGAAGTCCACCGTCGCTCAGAGCTGGCCATCAAAGACAAGGCCTACCTAGCCGACAGTGTGGTGCTATCCCAGCTGCTATACAATGCGTCTACTTGGCCTGAACTCACAGCAGGCCAGGCCAGGAATTTCAACAACCAGTATATCGTGAACTACGCTGCCGCGCAGGGGATCACTTGGAAAGTACGACAGACAAAGGAGGTCACGAACACCCAGATCCTCGAAGTGGTCGACAAGCTGCCCCCCGAGATAGCCCTACGTCTTGAGCGGCTACGACTATTCGGTAGATGCCTCAACTGGGGACCCCTGCACCTCCGCCGACTACTCAGCCAAGCATGGGATGGTAGTTACGGCTGGGTGGCACTGCTCCGCCGCGACTTAGACTGGGTCCGCGACCACACAGGACCTGACGAGCGTGGTGGAGCATACACGCTCGAAGACTGGAAGGACTGGGCCAGGAACGACTACAAAAGCTACCTCAGCGCAGCCAAGAAAGCTTGCCAACGTGGCAAAGCCCGCCAGTACGATCACGACCACCACGCTCGATGGCGGCTACGACTCCAGCGGTGGACCAACACGGAAGCCATCTCGCCCTTCCCAGACCAGCACTTCGAGCAGCAGCGCAAGTACCTATGCTACCACTGCGGACGTACTGAACTCAGCGCAGCAGTGCTGCGAGCCCACATCACCAAGGACCACACCTCGTCGGGGCATCCTATCTCGTGGGCAACTGGTTCGGTCTGCTACGGATGCGACATGGATTACCACACCACAAACAGGCTGGTCAAGCACTTGCTGCGAGTGCGCAGGTGCGCTCGACATTGGCGAAAGACACGTCCAGCACTCCTCAGCAAAGCCGAGCTGCAGCACAACCAGCAAGTGGTGCGCGACCAGCAGCAGGCGAACAGAAGGGCGGGCAGGCCCATCGACTGGGCAGAGAAGCCTGCAGTCCCTGCTCGTCCTCCAGAAATACACACGGACGAGGACAGCGACGACAGCAATGGCGGCCACTACGAGAGCCTCGAGCTCCCCTTCATCGAGGAGCCACCGCCGCCGCCAGCTGCTGTACCCAGGCCCAGGCCAGCTCGGACTCTATACGTGCTGCATCTGTTCAGCGGCCGTCGCCGAGAGGGAGATGTTCAGGATTGGTTCGACCGTCTTAGCAGTCGGGCTTCATGCGACATACACATGCTCAGCCTGGACATCGCCAACGACCCGACCTTCGGCGACCTGACATCAGAAGTCGCAGTCAACAAGTGGCGAGGCATGGCACAAGCAGGGAGGATTGCAGGAGTCATCGGCGGACCGCCGTGCGAGACCTGGAGCCGAGCGCGCCACCTGCCCCCCAATGACTGCAGGGGTCGCCCACCAAGACCCCTAAGAAGCAGCAACAGCTTGTGGGGCCTTCGCTACCTTTCCCGTCCAGAGATGGAGCAAGTAGCGATAGGCAATCGCCTATACAGGACACAGCTGGAGCTCATGTACATGTGCCTCAACCTTGGAGTCCCAGGCATGCTCGAGCACCCGTGCGAGCCCACCGAGGAGCACTTCGCCAGTTCCTGGAGGCTCCCCGAGACGCGCCACCTCCTGGACCAGCAGGGAGTCGAGCTGATCACATTCGACCAGTGCACCTGTGGAGCGCGTTCGAGGAAGTCCACAAGCCTGCTGGCGGTATCCCTACCAACCCTCCGAGCAGAAATCAGCAGATTGCCTGGAGGCGGGAGGTGCTTCCACACGGCCTCCTACCACGCGGAGCTGGCGGGCATCAACGACGACGGCCAGTGGCGCACCGCGGCGGCCAAGGAGTACCCGAACAGGTTGTGCCAGGCCATCGCGACCGCACTGGCGAAGCATATAAGGTGGCGCTTTGGCGAGTCGCCTAGCGACGTCCACGGATGGCGCATCGACGACGACGTGGCCCACTTCTTCCAGCCGCTCGACCGCTACAAGACCAGGGAGATGGGTCAGGACTACCACCGTGGCCCAGCGAGGCGAGGGGGCGCCCCGACCTGGTTGGAGGAGGCGAGGGAGTGGGCCCTGCAGGACCGACCCGACAAGGCAATGGGCAGGACCACCAACTCGACGGGAGCTGTTCGAGCACAGGCTGGAGCTGTTCGAGCACAGGCTGACGACGCGGATCGCGACGAAGTGCCCTGACGACAAGTACAAAAGGGTCAGGGCGCAAGTCCTGAGGAAGCCCCGAATGCGAGGGAATACCTCAGGCTACGTCGCCAAGTATTCCACGAGTTGTCAGGACGCAAGTCCTGGGGAAGCCCCGAATGCGAGGGAACACCCCAGGCACACGTCGCCACGTTTTGTAGCAGTGATGGACACGGCCGCCGTGCAGCCAGGGCTCAGAGGTACCAGCCAGACTACATGCCAACTACACCAAGTACGAGTCAACGCTGCCCTGGTGAGGCAAGGATCAAACTTCGAGACGGGCTCGAAGGGTGGGGGGGCAGGACGAGCACTGCCCGCGCCTACCAGGGGGGATGGTGAGGGGCAGGGGGGGGGGGGCAGGACGAGCACTGCCCGCGCCCCCGCGGTCCGCCCTAGCTCGCCACCCCCACCATTCCCATGGCGGAGATGGAGCTCCCGAGCGCCCAAGGGCGAAGCATAGGGCAGCCGAGACCTTCCTCATCGACAGCAGAAGAATCACTGGGCCTGGGGTTCGCCCCCACCGAGGGCACTGTGACCCCTAGCCATAGCGGGACGAGGTGGGGCCGCCAAGAACCCTACTTGAAGTCGGTGCATGGAGGCCTGAGTGCGCCTACAACCTATTCCACCTACCAGCAACAAGCCGATCCCCAACGACCTGTAACCAGCACGACAAGTACCTCAGCGGCTGAGTCGAGCACCAGGAGCCTGAGCCCCACACAGTCAAACAGTTCCACTCGACCAGCGCGACCGAGCCCAGTACAGAGAGCCTACCATCACCGAGCCAAACGACCACTGGATTAGCGATGCCGAGTTGAATGGAGTGAATGGAGCGAATGGAGAAGCTCATCATACCGAGACAAGTACTGCCACTTCGACCAGCACGACGGTGCCGAGTACCACAGGGTCGGGGCCAGCTAGTCAGCCACTGCTTCAATCAGAGCGACGGCCCACCACAAGCTTGGCATCACAGTCACAAAGCGTATTGCGAGGACCAGCACTACCGAGTCGAGGACAACAGATAGTGCTACTGGGTCAAGCCATACCAGAATGACTAGTGACTGGGACGAGGGCCACAGGGTTGGGCACAGCAGAGTCAACAACAATTTCGACCAGCATGACTGAGTCGAGTACCACAAGCTCGAGGGCGACAGAATCATGCTCTACTACAAGACCAACGACCACCGACGTGGCCCAGTGAGGGGGCCGAGTCGTCGGGGTCCCGAGGGACATAATTTGGTGTCACCCCCATTACCCCCAGCCGCCTCATCTTCCACTTATGGTTTCCTGGTTCGGGCCCTGTGCTTGTGGGGGTAAAGGGGGTGGCACGCCAGGCGAGCCCTGGCCCACCGTGCTCCAAGGCCTGGGCACTGCCGCCCAGGACAGGTGACGCAGCTGCCAGGCTGCTATCCTGGGCGGCAGCGCATCGGGCCAGAGGGCGAGTTGCATGCCATTGGACCCCGCTCCCTCTTCTTGGGACCCGCGCAGGCCATCTCCCTCCCTCCTTGCGGGGTCCACTGGTGCCTGGCCTTTAGCGTCTCTGGGGCCTCGCCCTCCCGCTCTTCCTCTGCCCCGTGAGATCCTGGAGGCCCTTTCCTCTCCTCTTGGGCGGGGTCCCCCCCCCCCGGCGCCGAGGGCGCCCGCGTGGTCGGCCGCGCGCGCGGCTAGGCTCGGGCGCAGAGGCGCCTCGGTTGCGGCTCAGGGAGGGATCCCTCTGCCGCCGCAAAAGCGGTAAACCAGCGGAGGAGGAGGAGGAGGCGGAGGAGGAGGAGGAGGAGGAGGAGGAGGAGGAGGCGGAGGAGGAGGAGGAGGAGGAAGGGGAGGAGGAGGGAGGAGTAGGAGGGGGGAGGGGGTGGGGAGGAGGGAGGAGGAGGAGGAGGAGGAGGAGGAGGAGGAGGAGGAGGAGGAGGCGGAGGAGGAGGAGGAGGATGGGGAGGGAGGGAGGAGGGGCGGCGGAGGGGGGGGGAGGAAGGAGGAGGAGGAGGAGGAGGAGGAGAGGAGGCGGAGGATGAGGAGGAGGGAGGAGGAGGAGGGGTGAGGATGAGGAGGAGGAGGGAGAGGAGGAGGAGGAGAGGAGGAGGAGGAGGAGAGGGAGGAGGAGGAGGAGGGACGGAGGAGGAGACGGAGGAGAGGAGGCGGAGGAGGAGGAGGAGGAGGAGGAGGGAGGAGCGGAGGAGGAGGAGGAGGAGGAGGAGGAGGATGGGGGCGGCGGCGGCGCGGCGCGGCGGCGGCGCGGGAGGAGGAGGAGGAGGGAGGAGGAGGAGGTGGAGGAGGAGTAGGAGGAGGCGGAGGCGGGCAGGAGGAGGAGGACAGGAGGAGGAGGAGGACGAAGAGGAGGTAGGAGGAGGAGGAGGAGGAGGAGGAGGAGGAGGAAGAGGCGGAGGATGAGGAACAGGAGCAGAAGGAGTAGGGAGGATGAGGAGGAGGAGGAGGGAGGAGGCGGAGGAGGAGGAGGAGGAGGAGGGGGCGGAGGGAGGAGGATGAAGCAGAGGAGGAGTGAGGATGAGGAGGAGGAGGAGGAGGCTGAGGAGGAGGTGGAGGGAGGAGGCAGAGGAGGAGAGGAAAAGGAGGAGGAGGAGGGGTGGAGGCTTGAGGAGGTGGAGGAGGAGGTGGAGGAGGAGGAGGGAAAGGGGGAAGGGGAGGAGGGGGAGGCGGAGGAGGAGCAGGAGGATGAGGAGGAGGAAGAGGAGGAAGAGGTGGAGGAGGAGGAAAAAGAGAAGGAGGAATAGGAGGAGGAGGAAGAGGAGGAAGAGGAGGAGGACGACGAGGAGGAAGAGGAGGAGGGGGAGGAGGAAAAGGAAGAGGAAGAGGAGGAGGAAGAGGAGGAGGAGGAGGACGAAGAGGAAGAGGAGGACGACGAGGCACAATAAGGAGGATCATAACAAACATATTCGTGACAAGAAAAATACCACTAGTTGTCATACGCATAAGGGTCGGGCTAATAAGAATGTTATTACTCAAAAGCGAAAAGAATTCGAATACCCATACAAATAGTCAACTGACTTGTAAGAATCGTTCACATAAACCAACTAACGCAAACATATGTGACTAATAAGAGTACGATTGATAAGACAATCATGCTAAGACAGTTTATAATAATAACAGTAGTAAGAGGGACCGTACATACACATTATACAACCAAGAACAATACACACGACTAGCAATAATACTAGTATTAATTATTGAATCTATTATGTCAGTGCGGGCGATACTAACAAAAATTATCCCGGCAAAGCAACCTAACAGCGATGTGTAGGAGCATATCTGGAAGCATTCCCCTTAATATTCAGATGAGAATCCAGTTGTAGAATTCTGCTGTTCTCGCAGTCGTAGTCGCATTCGCGATGACAGTCGCAGTGGCAACGGCAGTCACAGTCACAGCCTCAGCCTGCCTCAGCCTCAGCCTGCCTCAGCCTCAGCCTCAGCCTGCTTCAGCCTCAGCCTCAGTCTGACTTCAGCCTCGGCGTCAGCCTCAGGCTGCCTCAGCCTCAGCCTGCATCAGCCTCAGCCTCAGCCTCAGCCTGCCTCAGCATCAGCCTGCCTCAGCCTCAGCCTCAGCCTGCCTCAGCCTCAGCCTCAGCCTGATTCAGCCTCAGCCTCAGTCTGCCTTCAGCCTCGGCCTCAGCCTCAGCCTGCCTCAGCCTCAGCCTGCCTCAGTCTCAGCATCAGCCTGCCTCAGCATTCAAAATGTGGCCCGGGAATGGAGTTCTGGGAACTCGAAGATCACGAAGTGGCCTACAGTTGGCTCCGGGCATTCAAAATCATGCCCAGGAATGGAGTTCTGGGAACTCGAAGACCACGAAATGGCCTACAGTTGGCTCTGGGCATTCCAAATCATGCCCAGGATTGGAGTTCTGGGACCTCGAAGAACACGAAGTGGCCTACAGTTGGCTCAGGGTATTCAAAATCATGCCCAAAATTGGAGTTCTGGGAACTCGAAGACCACGAAGGGTCTTCCAGTTGGGCTCCCCCCCCGCCATCCTGTGGCACAAAAGTGTGGCCAGCGCGAATGAGTCTGGGGACTCGAAGACCACGAAGTGGCCTACAGTTGGCTCCGTGCATTCGAAATGTGGCCCGGGAATGGAATTCTGGGGACTGGAAGAGCACGAAGTGGCCTACAGTTGGCTCCGGGCATTCAGAATGTGGCCCGGGAATGGAGTTCTGGGAGGTCGAAGAGCACGAAGTGTGTGACTGTTGGCTAAAACGACTTCTGCGGCACACTGTCCGGCACCCGCCCAGACCCCCCTGTGGAGTCATCTGCTGCTCTCTTTTGACCCCACTAGAAACCTATCAGACAAGGCTGTTAGGTAAATTATCGAACTAGAATACTACGAAACATTTTGGTCGGACCAACACGAATTACTAACAATACTATTATCGAATCATTTTCACAGGGATAAGACTGTATGAAGCATATGATTAAACAAAGAATCAGAACAAGCATGGGGCCAATCCAAATATTACGCTACTATTACTATACGAAGACTAATCATAATAATACGATTGCAGAATGCTACGTAATGCAAATCGGAAAAAAAAACTTGTAATACGAAGAGAGCATGTATATGAGTAATTCATAATACCAGAAACGCATACAGGAAATTTTGTGTTAACTATTGCAAAAATATATAACAACTATCCCGGCAAAGCAACCTAACAGCCATGTGTAGGAGCCGGCCGGGGCAGCCGGCCGCCCTCCCCTCCTGCTCGTCCTCCTCCTCCTCCTCCTGCTCGTCCTCGGGCTCCTCCTGCTCGTCCTCTTTCTCCTGCTCCTCCTCCTCCTCCTCCTCCTCCTCAATTTTCTCCTGCTCCTCCTCCTCCTCCTCCTCCT